TGACCACCTCCTCTCGCCACAGCCCACCTGCCTACAGTTACCACCCAGTTGTCCACTCAAAGTACTAACCCACCAGACGGATTAGCGCACTGATGAGGTCATGGCTACTCTAATCGGTGGTGTCATCTCCTATCATGATCTGATCATTCCACCCACTGCACTAACAAGGGAGCTCTGGGGGACACCTCCTAGCCACACCGTAACACACAGGAAGGCATCTGAGAGACTGAGGCCGAGGTGCTGGATGGTGTGGTCGTCGATGTCAAAGAGGGGACAAAGCCAGGCCTGATGGACCACACCTGTAATCCCAGCTGCTCAGGAGGTTGATGCAAGAATATCACAAGTTCGGGGCAACTTAGCAAGATCTGTCTCAAGAATAAAAAGGGCCGGGGATGTAGGGATGTAGCTCAATGGCAGAGCACCCCTGGGTTCAATCCCCAGTATTGGGAAAAGAAAATAGAGGGGCCCGAGGTTGTCAAGAGCCAGCAATGGACAAAGGTGCACAGCCACAGGACCGGACCTCAGGGCCATTTCATACGTACTGAGAGCGGTGTGGGGGGCATTGCACCCCCAAGCTCAGGCCTGGAGAATATGGGAGGAGAGAAGAGAAGCGGGCTCACGGCAGGAGGCCTTGCTGGCCCTGCTGCAACATGTGAGGATCCAGGGACATGCTAGGAGAGGGGTGAGGCCAGGGTCAGGCGGTGCAAGCCTCCTGGAGGTCGAGAGTAGACAACTGCTGGGCAGGAGTAAGGGGCTCACCCTGTAGGTGTCAGCAGGGCTGCCAGGCCACAGTGACTTGTCCTCACCTGTCGCTCTGGGACTCGTGTGCAGGGATTCATCTTCTAGGCTTGTGATCCTGCAGGTCTGGGGTGAGATTCGTATTTCAGAAAAGGCACGGGGTAGGCTGAGGGTGTAGCTAGGTGGGAGAGCACTTGCTAATCATGCGGAAGCTCTTTGGTGGCAGGGATGGTGGCCCACCTTCCTCTGCATAAGTTGTCCCCTCTCCCAGGAAGGAACTTTGCTACTGGCCCCCTTAGGAGAGATCAAGAAGCCTGCTCAGCCTGGCTCGCGTGCCGGCGGGTAAAGACATCCCCAAAGCTGCCTTTTTCCTTGGTGCACGCGCATTTAGATTCTTTGCAAAGAGCTAGGGAGCTTCTGCACCGTTTCTCCCCTCAAAGGAAGACACACGCGCTGCCTGTGATTTACAATCACATCCTTCAGATGATTGTTTCTAAGCTGGTGCCACCAGATGGGGAAGATGGTCCATCCTGTTCTCTTCTTATCAGTACTTGCTAATTAGTGGTATAGCTGTGCCACACAAGCAGAGGTTCTGGAATATCTGACAAGGTTTTCTAATAAAAACAACTTTAAGGGTTGGGGATGTCACTTAGTGGTAGAGTGCTTGCCACCTTGCACAAGCACTGAGAATAATAATAGTTAAAACTTTAGAATTGATACTCTTTATATATATATATATATTTTAGTTGTAGATGTACACAATACCTTGACTTTTTTATAAGAATGTGTATATATATATATATTTTTTAAGAATGTGTATATATATATATATATATATATATCTGTAATTCCAGCAGCTGGGGAGGCTGAGTCAGAAGAATTGCAAGTTCAAAGCCAGCCTCAGCAATAGCAAAGTGCTTAGCCACTCAGTGAGACCCTGTCTGTAAATAAAATACAAAATAGAGCTAGGGATGTGGCTCAGTGGTTGTGAGTTCAATCCCCAGTACTAAAAAAAAAAAAGAAAGAATGTATATATGTATTTTTTTTTTCAGTATTAGGGATTGAATCCAGGGCCGTAGACATGCTAGGCAAGTGCCCTACCATTGAGCTACACCCCAGCCCTTTTTAAAAATTTTATTTTGAGACAGGGTCTCACTAAATTCCCAGGCTGGCCTTAAACTTGTGATCCCCCTGCCCCGGCCTCCTGAGTAGCCGGGATTATAGGTGTGCACCACCATGCCCACCTTAATGCGTTTCCCTTGCCATGCTGGGCCTCACACCCAGGGCCTGCCCGTGCCAGACAAGTGCGCTACCACGGAGCCCCAGCCCTGGCCAGAGACATCCAGGCGTCTCCCCCAGGCCTGCCTGGCTTCTGGCGCTGACAGTGTCCTTTGTAGTGACTTCCTATCCTCCTCCTCTAGGACTGAGTTCCCAAAGAGCAGGGCCCGGGACCTCCTCACATCAGTGGTCCAGGGACCGCCACAGACTGAGCGTCCTCAATGCATCACAGACGAAGAACCCGGATGGAGGAGGGTGCGTGAGGCACCCGGTGGAGGATGAATGGGCTGTGGGTGAAGGAGGCTGTGCCTGTGAGGGTGGAGGGAGGCTGAGGCGCTGGGGCAGCAACTGCCAGTCAGGAAGCCTTCCCCCCAGAGGAGGGGGTTAAAGGAAAAGGAAGTACAGGTGAGGCTGGAGGCAGGAGCTGACAGGAAATGAAGGATGGCGCCAGATCCTCGTGGGCCTTCAGGGCCAAACTAAGAAGCTTACGCTGTTCAGACTTCTGTTCATTAGCCACCGTTTATCACGTCTAATTGTGTTAGTTTATGGGATGTCTGTATATCCTCACTGTGGCTTCTCAGGGGAGGGATTATCTTCTCTATAGAGTTGAAGACATAGTTTCAGAGAGGGAAAGTGACTTGCCCTGAGTCACACAGCAGAGCTGGAATTTGAACCCGAGTTTGAGTGACTCCAGAGCTGCTGCTGCTCTCAAAACAGACAAACCCACCAAAAGAAATCGTGAGGCTCATTCTATCAGTGAGGTCACCGCTGATGAGCAAATACTGATAAGAGAGGGGTTTTGAGGAGGGGCCAGGGGTGACCTCACCTCTCAAGACATACTTGGGCAGGATGTCTCCCCGGGTACACCGTGAGCAGGGCCACTCGGTCATAGCCTCCTCCGATGGGGACCTTCCTCCCCTGGACCTGAGTCAAACACCGGGCTGGACAGCGGGTCATCGGCAGGGCTGACGCAGGCGGATCGGGTGCGAGGGGAACAGTGGGAGGGGAGGAGGAGTGGTGGGAGGGGGAGCGGCAGGGAGTCGTGGTAGGAGCCCCTGGAGTTTTACCCCCAAGCTCGGCAGACCACCGAGATCCGGGACGGATTAGCTCATCCGCCAAAGGCTGTGTGGGTGATGAGCCCAAGACCTAAGAGGGAAGGCCACCTGCCCAAAGTCACCCAGCTGTCACAGGCAGACTTTCCGTTGGAACACTCACCTCCTGACTTCCAAGCCAGTGCCAACCAGGAAGGGCGGGATGTGGTGCCAAGATAGGACAGGTGGCACAGAAAGGCCTGTTCTGCCACCAACCTGCTGTGTCACCTTGGGCAATTCACCTCCCCTTTCTGAGCCTCATGTTCTCTTTCCTCAAAATGCGAGCCTAACCCCAGCCCTGCCTTTCCGTCCGAGGGGGCCCGGCAAGCGCTCAACTTGGAAGGCTCTTCAGACTCTGCAGAGCCCTGGGAGGGGAGCGACTACCCAGAGACAGGCTGGCTCCGGGCAGGAAGTGCCAAGGCTGGTCCTGGTCCCACCAGGCTCCACTCAGCCCTTGCCCAAGCCTGCAGCTTCCTTGGTCTCTGCCCAGACTTCACCAGCGGGTGGTGGCAACAGCTCACCTCCACCTCCCTGCCAGGAACAGACGCCTCCGTCACAAGTGCCAGCGCGAGAATTGCCACGGGCGCTGATCTTGCCCTTGGATCTTCCTCCCACGCTCTCTCTGACCCTTCACCTGGGCTTCCTCCTCAGACAGGCCTCTTCCCGGGTGGCAAGGTGGCCACCAACAGCTCCAAGCTGATGCCATCCCCCATTCAGGTATCCTGGCAGGTAGCAAACGGCTCTGTCCCGATTGTCCCAGCAGATACCCAGAGTGCTCCTCTGAGTCAGAGCACGAGGCTGAGTGCCATCCCTGAGCCCAGCGTGGTGTCTGATTACTTGGCCAGGCCTGAGTTTCCTGTCCGCCTCAGAAACTAGAAATGGGGTCAGCCCTCTCCAAGCCACATGGACAGCACAGGGGGAGGTAGCTCTCTAAACAGAGATAGATTCTGTCACCTGAATAAGGGACATCGGACAGGGTCAAACATAACAGTTATCCAGGCACCTTTGTTCCTAAAGACTGTTCCTAAAAGATTTTTTTTTGGGGGGGGTTGCAAGGGAGTGTCCATCGAGTCCTGTGTGTATCAGTTAGCTCTTGCTGTATAACAAACACTCCAAAGAATCTTGGTTTAAAACAGTCACTTTGTTTAGCTCATGATTCTGCCGGCCAACAGGGCAGTCCTGCTGTGGGCCATGTGTCTGAGGGTTATTGGCTGTCAGCAGGTGACCTCGTCCTCCAGCAGGTCAGCTCGGGCTCCTTCACTGGGTGGTCTCTGTTACAAGTGAGGCAGGTGGGCAAGCGCCAGGGCGCACCTTTCTCAAGCTTTCTCTTGCGTCATCTTCTGAAGTTCATTGGGCAAAGCAAATCACATGACCCAGCATGGTGTGTGTGTGGGGGGGACCTGCCAGAGAGCAGGAAATAGGGAAAGGAGGAGCTCAGGTCAGTTTTGCAACCATAGCTCCCTCAGGGAACAGGAGTAAAAAAATCCCTTCTCTGCGGCCTGGGGATTCCGTGGGCCAGGACAACTTCTAGTTGGTGACAGTCCTCTCCCTCACCTGCTGGGGAGCAGGCTGGGCCCTGACCCCAGCAGCCAGGTAGGGAAGGGGCAGGAGCTGGAGCCCCAATGGGGAGGGCGTCCTGAGCAGGGTGGGGGTATCCTGGCTCCTGCCTCTCTCCAGCGCACCCCGAAGTGATGACCAGGCTTTGGGGCCCCTCCCTCGCTCCTACAGACTTGCCCCCACTTCCCAGCATCCCTCTGGTACTGAGGAGCTGGATGTCTCTGAGACTTGCCTCGTCGCCATGGTAACTGGCATCACCTGCTCCACAGGTCAAGGGGGCGTGCCTGCCCTTCCCTCGCCAGGACCGACCGTGGGCTCAGCCTCTCTCTCCCACAGGTGGCTGCGCTGCAGCGGCAGATCTTCGACTTCCTGGGCTACCAGTGGGCCCCCATCCTGGCCAACTTCCTGCACATCATGGCCGTCATCCTGGGCATCTTCGGCACCGTGCAGTACCGCTCCCGGTACCTCATCCTGGTAGGACTCGCTGCCCCTTCCTGAGCCAGCCCCTGCCCTCACCCCTGCCCACCCCGTCCTGCCTGCTCCTCCCACCCTGGGTCCAGATGGACTGGCATTGGCCTACACCGCCGAGGGGCTGAACGTCCAGGTCCCAAAGGACCTCTGCTCAGAGACCAGGTTGATATTTTTCTTAAAGAATTTTACAGAGAAACAGTCCCAGCATCAACAAGATATACCACTTAGCAAGTACCCAGCATGCACTGGGTACACTACTGAGATTTTCGGGGGCCCCATGAGGTGTGTCCTACCATCTCCATTTTCCAGATGAGGAAGCTGAAGCTCAGAAAGGTCATGAGGCTTCCTAAGGTCACACAGCTAGTGGGGCAGAGCCGGGATCAGAACTTCAGGTCTGGAACCAAGGCTCTTGCCCCGTCACGCCTCAGTAAGCGCTGGGGACAGCCACAGGAGCAATGGGCCTCAGGCCGAGTGTCTCAGAGTGCTGAGGGGGCTTGGTGGGGCTTGGGTTTTGTCCTTGCTGACTGATGTTCATCAGAGACTGGAGCCACTAGTGTGGCTTTGAAGTCAGTGGCTCCCTGCCCTCTAGCCCCCGGGGTCTGTGTCCCCAGCACCCTCCCCCACCTCCTCTTGGCCTCTCAAATCCTGCTCTCAGTGAGACTCACCCACGTGCCCTGCTGATCCTCAGGGACCTCCTTACATGGCTGTCTTGAGGGAAAAGCCTTCCCAAGAAATTGACCCTGTTGGTACCTACAATGACGATGGCATGCCGTGTCACCAAGAGCCCACTCACTCTCTAGGACTTCTCCCACCTCCCACAAGCTGAGCTCTCAGGAGCCAGATAACAGGGCCCTAACAAAGCTCTGTCGCTGGCACAGGGAACACTTCTCCCAGCGCTCAGGACGGCCCCAGGCCCCACAGGCAGAGCCAGGTCCGCCAGGGGCAGCCGCTGGAGTTGCAAGCCCAGGCCTGGCCTGGAAACCGCAGCTCCCAGACCTCTGCGCTCCGCCATAGCTGGCAGCCCGGGTAGGAAACTGTTCTCCCCAGAAGTGGTCACATTTGAGATGAGGGGAACCTGAGGGGCTGAGAGGTCCCTGGGCCACCCTAAGGCTTGGGCCCTTGCTCAGTGCATCCTGTTCTTGCTCTGTAACTGCTGCTGAATGGCCCAAGTCCACAGGGCAGCTCCAGCAACCCTTCCACCAGGCTGGGGGAGAGCCCTGGGCCCCACCTGAACCCACCTCTGCTTTCCCCAGTACGCGGCCTGGCTGGTGCTCTGGGTGGGCTGGAACGCGTTCATCATCTGCTTCTACCTGGAAGTTGGACAGCTGTCGCAGGTAAGCCTCAGGCCTGGGCAGTGCCCAAAGGCAGAGCCTGACCCTTCCCATCCCTGACCCCAGGTCTGTGGTACAGACCGAGAGCATCATCTCTTCAAGATACCTCCCTCCCTCTTCTACACACTCAAACCATCTGGATACCCCATTTCCCTCCCCCCCCCACAACTTTTGTTTCTGGCCTCCTTTGCATTTCTCAGAGGCTAAAGAGCAACGGAGGGCCCCAGTTGATGGCAAACTTAGTATAAACCAACAGCATGTGCAGGCACAGAAAGTAGTCTTAGGCCCTATAAATAGCAGTAGAATATTCAGAGCAAAGGAGGTGAACATTCCGTGCACATTGTACTGTTGAGTCAAAGATTTAGGTCCAGGACTGTTCAATATTTTTCAGGAGGAAAACAGAGTAGTTTGTGTTTATTCAGGAAAAATTGAGCATATCCTATTACATGGAGAACTGCTAAAGAAAGTGGGGTTGTCTAGCTTAAAAGCAACCCCAGAGAGACACTACTTCTATTTTGAGATACAAAGGAGGCAAAATATGTGAATAAGAGCTTCACCTTTGTGATTTGTCCCAGCAGTGTCACTCTGGGCAATGGCTTGTCCTCTCTGAACTACGGTTTCTTCCTCTAGAAAGTAGAGATAGTAGCAATCCCAAATTCATGTGGTAGCTGATGAGATCCCACATCTAAATGAATCTTGACTTGGCTGAAGGAGTACGAGATCAACGAACCCAGGGCTGCACAACCTGGGCCAGTCCCTTCTCCACGTGACAAATAGGAAGGCTAAGGATCAAAGAGAGGAGCAATCTGCCCAGGGTCAAACATGGGGAGAACAGTGAAGAACCAAATCAGCTGTGAAAGGGTCTCATTAAGGGTCTTACCAATGCCTGGGGAATTGTTCCTTGTCACTGTGTAATGTCCCTTCTGGAGCTCTGAAGTTCTCAGGCTCCTGAAGGGTCCTCTTTCCATCTTCTCAGTGGAAATGAGGCCTGCACGGTCATCGAGCACCACCTAGTGGCAAAACGTGGACTTGCAGGCTCAGTCTTCTCTGTTCCCTTACAAACCAAACAGGAGGCTCTAGGTCTAAGGCCAGGTGTGAAGTGGAGTCTGGAAAGGATACCCCCTGCCCTACTCAGTGTCCCAGGCCCCTCTGCCCCCAGGACCGGGACTTCATCATGACCTTCAACACATCCCTGCACCGCTCCTGGTGGATGGAGAACGGGCCAGGCTGCCTGGTGACCCCTGTCCTGAACTCCCGCCTGGCCCTGGAGGACCACCACGTCATCTCTGTCACTGGCTGCCTGCTTGACTATCCCTACATCGAAGCGCTCAGCAGTGCACTGCAGATCTTCCTGGCGGTGAGTCCTGTGCCCAGTCCATATGTACTCCCAGGGTCAACCCCTTTCTTTACCCCTAGTTAGGGGAGGACAAAGGCGGTTCTTCCAGCCTACTTGTGCTTCTGCCTAGATCTGTTTCCCTCTCATGACTCCTCCCTCTCTCCTGCTGCAGCCCCCATGAAGGGAACAGGCTTAATAAGCAGGATGAAGCATCAGACCACTTGCCCTCTCCTAGCTTGTTTCCTTTATTCACAAAAGGGAATGACAGTGCTGAGCATCTTGGCAGACACTTGTAATCCTATCGACTTGGAGAGGCTGAGGCAGGAGGATTAGAAATTGGAGGCCAGTCTCAGCTACTTAGTGAGATCCTGTCTTAAAATTTTAAAAAGGGTGGGGGATGGGCTGGGGATGTGCTCAGTAGTATCAAAATGGATGTGCTCCGAGGATCAATCCCCAGTACCAAAACAAAACAAAACAACAATACCAACCTAATAAAGCTGTGAGAATAAGGGGCTCCAAGATAGTAGGAACCCTGTCCTAAGCACTTTACACCCACACAGTCACATAAGTCACATAATCCTCTTTCCTCTTAAGCCATTAAGGCATTTCCCAGGTCTAACTGGGAAAACTGAGGCTCAAAGAGGTAATTACTTGCCTGAAGTCGCCCTCCCAGAGTGAAGAATGGGATCAGGTATGTTTGACTTTTAAGTGTAGGCATTTAACTTGAACTTGTTGGCCTGGATCGGCTGGGGGTTCAAGGAAAAGCTTTCCTATCCTTTCTGAAGTGTCGTCCCCTCCCCCAGCTGTTCGGCTTCGTGTTCGCCTGCTACGTGAGCAAAGTGTTCCTGGAGGAGGAGGACAGCTGTGAGTAAGGCGCCCCAGGGCGCGGCGCTGAGCCTTTCAGCACCCTGGACAGGGGCCGGGACCGGACATGGGGGGGGGGCGGAGCAGGCAGGGTCACCCAAAGGCCCCCTTTCGAAATGGATGGGGGTGTGTACAGCCAGCCCATTCTAGGTTCAGCCCCAGACGTCCAGGTGCCCGATCCAGGGCCCCAACACGCCCTTCCCCAGTTTGGCCCCAACCCCATAGGAGGTATTGTCTCGCCCCAAAGAGCCTTCTCTCCTATGGGACCTCTGCCTCCCGGCTGGAGAGTCGCAGGGACTTGACCCCCTGCTGGGTCGGCTCCCCCTCCCTCGGATTCTGGCCTCAAGGACCGAGGCCGAGTCCTGGGTCAGGCACTCCTCGCCCCCCACCTCCCCGCGTCTCTCCCCGGGCTTCCTGGGGCCGGGGATAGTGCTCTGATCCTTCCCTTTCAGGACCCAGCCCCTCCTAACTTGTCCTCCCCCCTCCTGCAGTTGACTTCATCGGTGGCTTTGACTCCTATGGATACCAGGCGCCGCAGAAGACGTCGCATTTACAACTGCAGCCTCTGTACACGTGGGTCCTAGCTCTGGCTGGGTGGGCTGGAGGGACTGGGACGTCAGTGCCGGGCAAAGAAAGGGACGGAGGAGTGGGGATCTTCCTGCCCCACGCTCCCCGTCCGCCTACGTCCTCCCCTAACCCGCCTTTGTTTCCTGCAGGTCGGGGTAGCTTCCGCCCCGCGCCCACCAGACGCCGCGCCCTTAGCTGCTGGACTGACCACGGCTGCCGCGAGCACCGGCCAACATGGGCAGGCGCGCCCCCTGGCGGCTCGCGCACCGCCTGCAGCCTGCGCGGTCCCGCCTGGATCTGCAGCCAGAGGAGTGGACTTGGACTTGGCCCTTCAGTCCCAGTCCCGGACTTACCGGGTGGGGCCGGGAGGGGCGGGGCGGGGGAGGGGGGTCGCCGGGTTTGTATTTTTTTTATCTTAGCCTTGGAGCGCGCCGGGGCCTTCCTCCCTTCTCGAACCTTTCCCTTTCACCCTTCACCCAGCATCTTGCCCCTTGTCCAGAGAGAAACAGCAGGACAGACAGACTCACCCCACCTCACCCACACATTCACCAACCCTGGGGAAAGCTAGGGGGAACTAGGAGCAGGAGTCCTCGTTTCCAGTCGTAGCTCCATCACTGACACCTTGAGTGACATCTAGCAAAGCTCTTGCCCTCTCTGGGTCTTGGTTTCTTCATCTCCAGTGATTAAAACTTAGCAGATGGACTCTTCTGACTTTCTCATTTGACTCAATCCCCTGGGTTAAGTTGGGATTATAAATTCCATTTTGTAGACCTGCAAATTAAGGCCCAGAGATGTGAAGTGGTTTGCTTGAGGCCACACAGCTAGGTTTTAGGTGGAGCCAGGCCTTGAACATAGTGGACTTACTATAGTTTCTGATTCCAAAACCCAGTGTTTAGTCTCTGGATTCTGATTCCAAGCCTCCTCCCAGCTTGGATACTCCACCTCCACACAGCGCCTCTCTTAAAGCAATATGTCCGTTTGTTCTATTGTTGGGAACCTGATGGACATGGCCACAAGCCCTGAATTCAACCTGACTTACAGGGAAGGCTTTCTAGACTCACAATCTACAGGGCCTTGGCAAACCTTCAAAGCTCTCTCCTCCAGGAAAGTGGGGTGCAACTAACCCCCCCTCCAGGTCCCTCAGGCCAGGTCTGCACCCAGGAACCCATCCCTCACAGCAACCCCACCAACCCTTGACGGCTCCATTCACCTCACCACCTAGAAGACCCGTGGTTCCAGCGGGGAGGAGGATTGGTGGCGCTGACCAGCCACTAGCGTTGACAGACCGCCATCGTTTGTGACCACCACAACATCCAGAAGCTACCCCTAAAAAGCCCAGAAGGCACTCTGAAGGGACAGAATGGGGCATGAGTCGTGGGGGTGGGGTGTCAGGAGGACCAGCACCCACCTTTCTGAGACAAGTAGAGGCAGAGCGTTTCTTTCCACCCTCCCTCACAGATACCCCTGAGGCCCCCCGCATGCTGTGCGCTGGCTGGTGAGTCCACAGAAGAGGATCAGCCTCTTAGTGTGTGAAATGGCAGCCTGGGTGGGAAGAAGGATGGGAGGGAGGCCTAGGGGGACCAGAGGGAAGCCCAGACAGTGGAGGCGGTTGCACACACCTGAGCCTGTCTACAGTGCCCACCTCCCTCCACGATCCCACTAGGAGGGTGACCCTGCCCACTAGCCCTTCTGCAGTGCTGTGCCAAGCACCAGCCCCAGGAGTAACTGCCACCATAGACACCGAGGTCCCAGGTGGTCAGCCTAGTCAGCTGGTGGGTACAGCTCCAGAGAGGGACAGCTCCCTTCAGGCTGGGCTGTCCCCTTGCCAGTGGGTCACTCCTGCTTGCAGCCCTCACTTCTCCTACACCCCCCCCCCCCCCCCCCCGCCCCCAGGCCTCTTTCTACTTGGACGGGTCTAGCCACTGGTGCTTTGAAGCCTTTTGTTTTTATAAGCTGGTTTTTGCAAGGGGACCAGTTTCTCTTCTCATTGGGACCTTGCAAGGCTAGGAGTGCTCTCCTGGTTTCTGTGCAGGTGGGTTGATTAAAGATGGTGTTTTCTTCTCTGTTTTCCTGTCCTGCCCTCTGGGTCAGAAAGACCTCTTAAGAGAAATGTCCCCATGGGGGAGAGCCAGCCAGGCAGGGAGGCCACGTCATCATTGGTATACATTCTGGATACTGACCTGTGCCTCGCAAGATGCTTCCCTCTTTCCAAAGGAGAAAGGAAAAAAACCCACCAAGGTCACACTAAATCAGTAGGTTCCCAAACCTGGCTTCACCATCCCTTGGAAAGCTTTCTATTTATTTTTGTGATTAAGTTGATGCTTCCAAATCCTCTTTGTGTCTCGGCTCTGCCTCTCCCTACAATCCAGTTGCTGGCCTGGACCAAGCTGGCAGACAGTGCTTTCCACTTGAATTCCTGCATCCTACCCTCCCTGTCCTGGATCCTTTTCTGGTGATACAGCCAGGAAATTAAAACTTTTAATTTTTTAATGAACACGTAGTATGTTCAGACGGTTCCAGAAAAGTATATCCTGTACCTCTTTTTCATCTTTCCAAACAGTTCTGTCTCTATACAAATATTCCCCCCCACACACACCCTGTGTTCACACAAATGGCAGCATCCTGCTTCTTCCACTTGGAAACCGTCTTGGAAATGTTCCCCCGATAATACATGGGGAGCTGCCACCTGCTCTTCCACAGCACCCCCTCCGGATGTAGGGGATCTTACATAAGGATGCCCCAGGTCTGCTGCAGCTCCAGTGGACCATACCTCCTCATGGGGGGGGGGGGTTAGTCAGGCCCTGCCTTCAAGGAGCTACTGGTCCAGTGGGAGCTCACTGGAGGTCAATGCTAAGGACAGGCCAAATGAAAGGCCATTGTTCTTAGGAGCTGGGAGGGAACTATGGCCCCAAGCAGGGGCAGCAGAGGCAAAGATGTGGAGGAGAGGAACCGTGCCTGGAGTGAAAGTGGAAGACTTCCACACTAGTTTCCTATTGCTTTCCCCACCCTGGTGCTGGGGATTAAACCCGGCAGCAGATGCTGGACAAGCCTCTAACAAGGAGCCACATCCTCAGCCCTTTTATATTTTGAAACAGGGTCTCACTAAAGTTGCTCAGGCTCGCCTCAAACTTATGGGGATGTGTTGTTGTTTTCTTTTTTAAAAAACAGGAATTAAACTCTGAGCGCTTAACCACTGAGCACATCCCCAGCCCATTTTTGTATTTTATTTCGAGACAAGGTGTTCTGAGTTGCTTAGGGCCTCGCTAAATCGCTGAGGCTGGCTTTGAAGTCACGATCTTCCTGCCTCAGCCTCCAGAGCCGCTGGGATGACAGGCGTGCAAAGTGGAATTTTATGTGAACATTTTTCCTTTTCCCGCCCCTCCCTCCCAGGACCTCGAGCACTAGACCGGCCATCTACCACTGAACTAATCTCCCGCTGAAGTGCACCTGTGTTTAATCTAAACTCATATGTTACTGATGTCCTCCCCATCTTTCTTAGTGGACTAGCCATTTCGATGACTGTGACCAACTTTCAAAACTAAGCCGGACCTTCGCTCCGCCACCAGGGCGGTTCCGGAGGCGGGCTCCCTGCGGGGCGGCAGGTGGAGCTCCGCCAGCCTCTCCCTCTTCTGGCCTCTGCCCCAGTCAACTGGAAGAGGGGCCGCAGCTCCACTGCCACCCGGGCGTGGTGGCCACGCCCGCCTCGGGCCAGGTTCCAGTGACTCAGCAGTCCCCATCTCAGTCGGCCCGCGTCCGGCAGCAGCTGCAGAGAGCCCTGCAGCGGGTGCCCTGCACCCAGGTGCTAGAGCTTCCTCCCCCACCGTGACCTTGGGCCGCTGCTCCCCACTCTGGCATTGGTCTGTCTTGGGTGAAAGGAGAGGGCTGGACTGGGTATGATGTTCACAGCTTGTCTGCCGACATTCTGAGGCGCTGTACCTGGGGTGCCCTCCTGAATGCAGATTCCCCAGCTCACTCCACCTGTGTATTGGGTCCTACTTCACTGAGGTCCATGCTTTAGTATTTATTAAGTACCTACTACATGCCAGGATTTGGATATACAACAATGAACAAAATAGACAGTACCTCCTGCTCTTATGGGGCATGTCTTTGTGGAGGAGACATAAGAAATAAATTAGTAAAATGTATGATAAATACATGTCCCAGAGCCAGGCACAGTGGCCCATACCTGGAATCCTAGTGATCAGGGAGACTGAACCTGAAGGATCCCAAATTCCTTGGCCAGCCTGGGGCAACTTAGCGAGACCCTGTCTCAAAATAAAAAATAAAAAAGGCTGGGGATGGGACTCAGTGGTAAAGTGACCCTGGTTTCAATTCCCAGTGTCAAAAAAATGTATAAATAAATAAATTGGGTGTTATACCGAGAAAGATTTTTTATTTATGTATTTTTTCCAGTACTCGGAATTGAACTCAGGGGACCTTTTCCACTAAGCTACATTCCCAGACTATTTTGTGTATCTTGCTAAATTGCTGAGGTTGGCCTCAAACTTGTGATCCTCCGGCCTCAGCCTCCTGAGTTATTGGGATTATAGGTGTGCACCACATGCCTAGCTGCTCACAGTTTTGTTTTTGTTTTAATATTCATTCTAGTTGTAGGTAGTCACAATATCTTTATTTTATTTTTATGTGGTGCTGGGGATCGAACTCAGTGCTGTGCACATGCTAGGCAAGCACTCTACCTCTGAGCCACAACCCCAGCCCTGCTCACAGTTTTTGTGGACCACAAATTCAGGAGCAGATTTGCTGGATGGTGCTCCCCACCTCCCCATCCCCCCAAAAAGAGCAAACTGAAATTTAGGTTAAGTATCTTTCCCAAGGTCATACAGTAAGTTGCAGGACCAGGACCTGAACTAGGATGCTTCTGACATAAAAATCTATGCCTCTAACCTCTGCGTCATACTCTCTCTATGGACACTGCTAGGTGGCTATGCAGCCTGTCAAATGAAGTGACAGGAAGCCTACTGCATCTCTGGCAAGGACATAGAAGCTGCAGGACCTTTCAATACATGCCCATTCTGGCCACAGCCCAATTGAAGCAAGAGGTCAATAGACCAGAAACAGGTGCGACCTTGTATTTCAAGCCAACACACGTTTATTGAATACCAATCAAATGCCATTTACCTGAATGGCTCTGGTGAGAGGTGGCACAATCAGCATATGGTTTGCAGGACAGCTGGTGGCTGCAGGGGCTCCTCTCCCAGGTGGGGACTCAGGAAAGGGAATGGATTTCTCTAGACCAGGATTTTCACACTCAGCCCTACTGCCGTTGGGGGTTTATCATTCTGTGTTTGGAGGCTGAACTGTGCACCAGAGGGTGCTGGACATCTACCACAACATGCTCCTCTGGCCTCTAGTTGTGACAACCAAAAATGTCTCTAGGCATTGCCAAATGACCTGGGGACAATATCCCCTGTTGAGAACCACTGGTTTGGGAGTTTTGTTTTTGTTTTTGGTACCAAGCATTGAACCCAGAGGCCTTAACCACTGAGCCACATCCCCATTTTTTGCATTTTATTTTGAGACAAGGTCTCGCTGAATTGCTTAGGGCTTCTTTAAGTTGCTGAAGCTGGCTTTGAACTTGTAGTTCTCCTGCCTCAGCCTCCTGAGCTGCTGAGATTACAGGCGTGTGCCACCATACCCAGCTAGAACTATTGTTCTTGTCTAAGGAAATACAGTGAGCCACGG